CCAACACCTTACAGCAGCAGCCGGGATTTCCTCAGAGGTCTCCCCTCCCAGGACTGACCAGGCCCAGCCTTCATTGGAAAAGTAGGGCCAGTGTTGAATAAAACCACGAGAGAGCCTCTTCCTAACAGCAGGGGTGTGGTGTCACTGTAGGTGGAGTGCTCACGAGGGGTCAGGCCTTGATCAAACAACAGTGCAGGTGGGGGCTGGAGATCTCCACAAGTGCATAAATAGACACAACTGTATTTGTTTGAATAAACAGGATGAGACAATAAGCTCTGGATTAGTAAGAGAAGTGAGTGCTTCTGATTTTGGGAAGAAGAGAATATTTAGAAAGATGAGAAACTGAACGTCACATCTTGTTTTTTCTCAAAAAGACAAGCTTCAGCTCTGTTTGCAATGATAACGACAGTAATTTAAGTTTTTCATGACTTGCTGAACTTTAACCCCTACTCACTCAATCCCCATTGTGACACCACACCCCTCAAAAGATAGTTCAGGGCCCAGTGATTCCATCCTCTTTCTTCATTATTCTGGTGTTGGGATTTCGTAAATCATTTCACAAATTCACTACTTGAACTTTTTCCCAGCACTCAGAAATATTTGTGCTGCTGCAGAGTACTGTGTTCCCAGCCTAAAAATAGAATTCTCCTGTTCCTGAAAATCACTCCGATTTATTCAGAGGCCTGCTGCTTTGCCATTGTTTTTGCTGGGTGACTTAATGTGGGAATTTCAAGGGAATGTCCCTCTTCAAGGGAGTATAAGGAAGGATCCCAGATATCTGACTCTGGCTGAGAGGTGCTGGTTTCTTGATTTGTGGACACTGGGTCCACCAGCTGTAGTCAGCCGGGAAGTGTCTTGAATTTTAAAGTGCGTCACTTCAGGGGCGTCTAACCCGACCCCCAGAACCAGAAAGTCTCCCGTCCAGCTCTCGCTGCCCCTGGTCCTGTCCCCAGCAGGACACAAGGCTGCAGCCCGGCCTCCTCTCTCCAGCTCCTCAGAGCTGCTGGAGCTCAGCAGAGGGGCTGG